AGGAGTAACGGTAGTTCGAACTAGGAAGCCTAGTTCGAACTACCTAGTTCATGCCCCGTGTAGCCGTGCGGCACAGGGTTCGAACGAGCGGGGATTTAAAAATGGCGGAGCCCCGCTTATGCAAATGAAGCCCGGGAAATTCAAATCCCAGACTTCATTTGCATTTGCGGTATGCCTACATTACCCTCCTATTTCGAATTAGGAGGGTAGTGTAGACATACCCCTAGAGGACACCAAATGAAATTAATGGGTAGCAGGTTTAAAACTAATAAAAGAAAGTTCTTCTTCACACAGCATGTAGTCAACCTGTAGAACTCCTTGCCAGAGGAGGCTGTGAAGGCTAGGACTATAACAGAGTTTAAAGATAAGCTAGAGAATTTCATGGAGGTTAGGTTCATAAAAGGCTATTAGCCAGGATCTAGAAATGGTGTCCCCAGCCTCTGTCTGTCAGAGGCTGAAGAAGGATGGCAGGAGACAAATCGCTTGATCATTGTCTTTGGTCCACCCTCTCTGGGGCATCTGGTGCTGGCCACTGTCAGCAGACAGGCTACTGGGCTAGATGGACCTTTGGTCTGACCCAGTACGGCCATTCTTATGTTCTTATGTAAAGGAAAAAGGCCAACAAATCAGGTGTGTCCACATTCAATGGGATATTCATTCTGTGGTTGTAGGAATAGAACATGTATATTGTGAAATTAAATTAGGAGACATCACGGTGGAATATGTTGCATAAAAAACTTTTGCGTGAGCTATTACTTGATTTTACACATGCATTTTCTGGAAATACACTAAACTGTAAGGTCCTGCCAACACTTGACTTAGAGACTGACATAAACCTCCTGCTGACTGCATTGCTGGAGGGCAGGGGGGCAATTGTCTTCTAAATCACTTTATTGTTGGTGGTTTGTCTGCATTGCCTTTTTAACTCTGTAATTCATTGTAATCTTTGTTAAACCTTGCAACTTGCTGTAATCTTTGTAAAACCTTACAACTTTGTAACTCTCAGCAACTTTGCTTTATAAATTCAGAAACTTACTGTAAGCTGCAACTTTGTAACTCTCAGCCACATTGCTTGTAACTTGCTCTAAACTCTGTTCTCCGGAGTGAATGAAAAAGTGTGTGTGTGTGTGTGTGTGTGTGTGTGTGTGTGTGTGTGTGTGTGTGTGTGTTTGTGTGCGTGGGTGTGTGCGTGTGTGTTTAAAGTTGCAAGGTTGGGCACATGGTGATGAGTCATTAGACTGCTGCTCTGCTGGACCAAGGGAAGTCAGGGCATGCTCTCTGGTAACAAAGGAGGATGAGTCACAGGAGCTATACAGAGACAATAAAAGGAGAGAGTACCTGTCAGAAGACTCTTTACCCCCTCCCCACAGAAGCTCCGCTTTCTACAACCTAGTTTCTTTCCTGACCAGCTCCCCAGGCATGATAAGCAGACACACCCTCCAGAGCACATGCCTTGGCTCCTTCTGCAACACATTTGCCTGTGTGAGTGCCTGAGGGCAGGAATGAATGTGTGTGAATGAGTGAATGAAGGTGTTTGTGTGTGAGAGAGAGATAGCTGGTTCCCTCTTTAGTTTAAACTCATGGTGGCAGCTCTATCTTCTTTAGTTTATCAATAAACCCATGCTACTGTAGCCCTGGGTGGTCTCAAATTGGAATTTTTGGGGGTAACAGAATACACTAGTGTAGAGTCATCCCCCTGATTTCCAACCAAGAGGAGACAGAATTCAGAAGTTCAATGTCTACCTTGAAATAATGGTTGATTTTGAGACAGAACACACACATACTGACTTTGAATGATCCTTCACCAGAAGATACAAGGAAAACCAGTTCCTTGTACTCGAGGGATATCCGCTAAGAGTTAGCCAACTAATGCTGGAAAAGGAAGATTGGTGAACAAATAAAGTATCTGGTTAAGTTAGATTTTATCCATAGAAAGCACATTTATACTTCTGAGTGTTTGCAACCATTTCTATCTTTATTCCTTCTACCTGGTGTCACTTAACCTATGTCCTTTTGTGAATAAACTGGCTTTATTATTATTGTAAAGCACCTAGGGCTGGGTTTGAAGGGAATAGTGTTTACCCCATCGAGTAAAAAAGCTGTGATGTGCTGACTTTTTAAAAAGAGAAGCACAGATAGCATCTCTGCAGAATGTACAGCAGTAAGTGCTGTGCATTGTGAAGAGGCATCTCTGAGCTGCTCCAAGAAGGCAGATCACAGATAAAATCTTGCAGTTTGCTGGTGTCCTCACTCTGCATTTGTAAGCAACAAGTAGCCAGAGGCAGTTTTATTACGAGCTGCAGCAAGGGAAAAACTGGTTCAAACAGGGGGGAAGCCACCCCCTCTGAGGCAGATCTTCGAATACAAGCAATTATGAAGCAGTTTATATACTGTCCATTAGATATAATAATAATAACAATTAGTCTCCTTCCCATTACAAACATCAATGGCTAACAGTTATTTAGTTCCACCCAGATGCTCCTTATCTCAAGGTCCCTGCCAGAGTCAGCATTCTATCTTTATCTCCATATGGAGGTGAGAGGCAAAGGCAGCGTCTAATTACAGATCTCGTGTTGTCAGGCCACAGACTTAGCCTGACTCTTGCTCTCTTGTTAACAAGACCAAGATGGCTGCACACAAATTCCCTTATTTCCTTTTCTTGCCTCCACACTGGTGAGGAAGTCAGACTGGTATGACCGCGAGCTGACATGCAATCAAACTTCCAGCAAAACTCATTCTTGCTAAATCAGAGGTAATAGAGTGACTCACAGCAGCATGTAACATAACTCAAGTTGGCTTTTAAATTGATTTAGCTCTAAGCCTGGGTGCTGGAACTAGGAGTGCTGGGGGTGGAGGGAGGCAGTCTGCAGCACCCTCTGACTTGCAGTGGTTTCCATCACATCCCCAGAGTTTACAGTTTGGTTTAATGGCTCTCAGCAGTTCGGCTGTACAAACTATTCCAGCACCCCTGATTCTAAGATTGTACAGCCCCCCTGTATGGACACATGAGTTAGTTAACAAGTGGCTTATATCAATATAGCTTCCCTTGGTAACTAAATCAATATAAGCCAGTTGTTAATTGATTAAGGTGTGTCTATACAAGGTGTGTCACCAACGTTAACCAAATTAGTTTTAGTTAGACCCGTCCTGAAAGAGCAAAATGCAGGATAGACCATTTCCCCCTGACTATGTGCCTTTCATAACCATGCCCAACTTCCCGAGTAGGCACAACACATCAGTACATGCCATGTATAACAGAGTATTCAACCTTGCTCACAAAGGGAGCATAACACTCCCACTCAGCTTACTCTTTATTGTTTTGCCTAGCATTTGATGCAACTTAAATGCTTTTCCTCTCCAGTGCTCTCTGCAATGGACCTGAAAATCAGGCCCATGACTAATATCAATGGCTATAAGGCTGAATAGGAATTCTAATTATGGACTGGCATGCCGTGAATGGGCTAATTTCACTGCACTCCCTGAAGCATTTCAGTAGAAGGTGAATGAGAGCAAGAGAAGGGAGAAAATGCTCCAATTATTTAGTGCCTCCAAACTGAGAAATCGTGAAATGACTTCTTTTTTGCTTTGTATTCTGCTGCCCTCCACTAAAGGGACAGTGATGGGAGCAAAGGAAATAGGGCAAAAGTGCTTCTATATTTCCTTTTCATTGCAGAGAAAAAAGGGAAAGCATTATATTTTTTCACTTTGCCAAAGACTTTAGGGGTTTCTGATCTGAAGTCAAATCACAACCCCGTCTAGCCACTCCACCAAAATTATTCAGAAATGTCTTTATTTTCTATGTTTGCGATGTTTTTTACCTTTTTGTTCTCAAAGGATGTGGTAAGCAACATGACAAGAACTACAGAAAGGCAGAAATATTCTTGAGCTACAAAACCCATCTAATAAACAAAAGTGTAAATTACTGATGTTAATATGCTACAGTTGGGATCTTAATAAATTAGTCAATGTCAAACAAAAACTCATTGTACAAAGCCAGAACTAGCTATAGAAATAACTAAAGACCAGATCCGGTAAACATTTAACAAGGTGCATAAGTTTTTTCATGTGAGTACAGGAGATCCCAGTATACATCTCCCCCTTATTCATTATTTAAGATGTCCATCACACATCAACAATAAAGAAATATATTTTGTTTCATGTTTCTGAACTGCATTTCCATCATTTGCATGGATTGAGACCAATGTGAATTGGAACATGTTCCCCTGTTGTACAATAGTTACGTTCGCCTGTCACCTCCCAAGCTTATTACCTATGGAGGACATTCTACGTGCTGATTAATGAGATGGCAGGTGAAGGAAAGTCCAGTATAGAGGAGTCTTGGAAGTCCTACAACAGCTTGAATAATGTGGAAAACATTGACCAGTTTGTGGGAAGAAGTCACGTTTCAATGTATGAATGGCCAGATGATGTCCACAGTTTCATGGGATTTGAGGCAATTCCTGCTCTCAAGCAAGAAATTTAAGTTGGTAAAGGATGTTGGCTTTGAGGAGATGGGTGAAGAGGCTGTGCAAGTCATTGGGATCTCACAATGATCAACTGACAAATGAGGGACTGATCGAGTTGAACCAACAATGAATATCCAAAGAAAGCAAAGATGATGATGACACAGGGCAGGAAGCCAGGAGTTTGATATCAACAAATCTCTCCCATTTCTTCAGATTGCTGGATGAGATGATGGGAATCATACAGAGCAGTGATCCAGTTTGTAAACCGTCTGCCAAAGCCTCCAGGGCTCTCCATAATTCAATGGCTTGCTACAGGGAGATCTGTTGTTCAAAGATTCATGCAGGAGAGCCGACGTTGATAAAAATCCTTTAGGATGTCTGAAATCAAAAAGCCAGCCATGAAAAAAGCCAGTCCAAGAAAATCCATCTACCACACTACCTAAACTTAGCATAATTGACACTGCATTACACTGTATTAAACTGGTCTATGTGTTTGCAGGATGTCAGTAGGGTTCTACATTATTTTATTCAAGGTTTTCTATGTAAAATCTGCACTATATAAACTGTCAATGTAAAAAGGAACATTGTGTAGGCAAAAAAGAGCATTGTCATAGGTGACTGTGGAGAAGTTTTAAACTCATATGCCACCTTATTCTATTATTTCTAAAAATTATTCTAAAAATTTCCCACTCCACGTCGCTTTGGTATCCATTGCCATTTTCAATAACTTAGGCTTCAGAAAGAAGGATTAAGATAAAAAAAATGGAGAACCATGGCCCCTGGCCATCTCTTTCTTACCACATCTCTGGACTGGTAAATTCTGGCAGGGGAAATTTTCAACAGAAGGGCTGAGGTTCCCAAAAAGCTATTTGTGCAACCCAGAAAGGCACTTAGAAAACTAGCAGATTTAACATCCCTGCTATCATTTTGGACTGAAAAAATCTAGTTCACCTGAAACATATTTTACCTGCTTTAATTGCTCTCTCATTTCTTCCTCTTATCTAACAAATCATTAGTTAGTTTACCAAGGAAATTTGCTGTCAGCCTTGTCTTTGGCATGAGATCCAGAGTATCCACTCACCTGGGATGCAGCGCCTGACCCTTTGGGACTGACTGGAAGACTCTAATGTGTGGTGATTTTTGGTTTTATTAACTTTTCACCGTAGAAGTCCAAATTGTCTGGGTGGTAGTATCGGCTAGAGTATCTAAGGGCCTGTCTCTGGCTCCACGTAAGTTAGTATAGTGTTCCAGGCAGGGCCATCCTGAGGCATAGGCAGCTGCATAGGGCACAGTAAAAAAAAATATGGTTTCCTAGGCAGCTGCATGCTGTACATACCTTGGGCCATCACTGGGACAAGACAGCAAGGGGCGGCTGCAGCAGCCAACCCCATACCCTGGACTGCCTATGGGTTGTGCCCAGCCACCACTCATTAGCACTTTTCCCTTTCTGCTGGAAGCGGAAACCACATCCAGTCTCCTACTGACTGCTGGCTGCCTCCTGCTCTGCCTCCAACCTACAGCCTGGCATCTCCTCTCTGCTTTCCCATCAACCTCCCTACCCTGCTCCTGACCTCTGTGGCCCTGAAACCTTCTCCCCACAGCTCCTGCCTACACAGCTCCCCTGTGGACTGGCCAGGCCCTCCCCTGTGGACTGGCCAGGCCCTCCCCTGTGGGAGAGGTGGAGGTGCTCGGGCTGGGTAGGTTACCAGCAATCATAAGGACGGCCCTGAAATCTCAGTGAATTTACCAGGAAGATGGGAGTGTCTACCCAGTTTTTCAACAGTCTGCCCTGCCACTGGCCTTCTCAGTTGTGACTCATGCCAGACACAGACATGTCTGTTTTGCTTTTTTCCCCATACATTCAATTAATGTTTTAATCGGATGTATGTAACTGTCACAGATTTTTGCTCACTGTTGTGTCCTGTTCAGTTTGAATATACTTACCATTGAGCCAAATTGACTTCTGAAAGTCCTATGTCAATTTGGAAGTTTATGGCTGAAGGACAGACTGCAACAAAAGAGGTGAACTTTTTGTGCCCATCTAAGGTGGCAGACCTCTTACACATCCCCAGGTTGTGGGAAACTATTGCAAAACAAATCTCTCTCTGCTTTCTGAAAGATGTGGGTTATGGATCAGTGAAAGTAAATTACTAGTGACCTTTCTCAAATTCTGCCCCCCAGTTACATGCATGCAATCTCATTGAAGCAAATGGAATTGCATACATGTAACTCGGAGCAGAAAATACCACTGAGCTCTTGAATCTTTTCAGATCTGTACTCCTTAAGGCCTGTACCAAAAGCCCACCAAAGTGACTAGAAAGCTCCCTACTGACTTCAGCGGCATTCTTCCTGGCTGTGTCTAGACTGGCAAGTTTTTCCGCAAAAACACTTGCTTTTGCGGAAAAACTTGCCAGCTGTCTATACTGGCCACTTGAATTTCCACAAGAACACTGACTTCCTACTGTCTGAAATCAGTGCTTCTTGCAGAAATACTATGCTGCTCCCTTTCAGGCAAAAGTCCTTTTGCGCAAAGCTTTTGCACAAAAGGGCCAGTGTAGACAGCTCAGATTTGTTTTGCGCAAAAAAACCCTGATAGCAAAAATGGCGATCAGGGCTTTTTTGCGGAAAAGCGTCCGTGCCAATCTAGACGCTCTTTTCCGCAAATGCTCTTTTCCATTAAAAGCATTTGCAGAAAATCATTCCAGTCTAGACGTAGCCCCTTTGAGCAATCTCTCTGGGTCACATCCAAGATGGTGAACTGCATAGCCAAAGATTTGCTCTCGGTACATAAGTCCTAGTTCAGCAAAGGACTTAAGCACAAGCTTAACTGTAAGCACCATAGTAGCCCTATTGAAACTAATACGCTTAATTTTAAACAGTACATAATTCCCAATTATGAGCTTAACTATGCTCATAAGCAAGAACTATGCTTGAGTCCTGAATCATCACTATCTACTGCCAGACAATGAAAATCACTAGTGTTAACAACAACAGAAAGCTGGAATAATGCAGTGGTTCATCAGAACCACCATCCTACAGGAGTTCTTGAACACCTTTCAGCTTATCTGTGAAGGATCTAACACTCAAATCATCCTGCAACACTCCCTGAAGGGCTCTTGGTACCGAAACCAAGGAATAGCTTATACAGAATGGCCCTTACATGTAGTTTTTCATCTGTGACAAATAAAATATTGATAGCAGTCTTCATTTTGCGTTACCCTTCCAAAACATACTGTGTAGTAAGCCATAACAGAATGGAAATTGCTTATAAAAATGTGAGAGTGGATGGCAGAATTTCATAGTGTGAGCAACAGTGATTTTTCACTTCACATGCTATTTACCATGAAATGCGGCAATATGAACTGCAAGATGCAGCAATAAATGTTGGTCAGATTTTTAGTATTGTTGGGCTATATGTAGTTTGCATTTATAACATTTATAATTAGTTCATTATGCTACCATCTATATCTGATTATTCACTTACCTGGCCCACCTACCCCATAATTGTAGCTGAGCATCCCATTAAGATATTATGTATCATTATCTTCATTTTACAGATAGGAAAATGAGGACTAAATACCTTTATAAATCTGGCCCTACGTGACTTAACCAAGGTCTCTAGGAAATCTGAGGCAGAACCTTGAATTGAAGCCAGATTCCTAAGGGTCAGTCCAGTAAGTCCATCCTCATATCTTTTGAGTATAAATAGGCTTCATGAACACTGTTGTGTCCAACAGGCATTGTCTTTTCTCCATACAAACCTAATCACAATCCCTATGCTGTTCTACATTATGTCCACCAAAGAAATAATTAGGAAACTGCTCTGGATTGAATAGCCAGGTCAAGGCAGCAGTTGGATAGAATAACGCTTAAGCACAGACCATATATGGACATTGGAATGGGTTAAACAGGGACATCTGGCAGAGATGGATTTGGACACAACTCCCAGGGTCAGATCCACAACTGTCCTTTCAGGGCAATCATATTATAGCAGCAAGTGGGGTAAGTTCCACTGCCTGGGTCACTAGGAGAAATCTAGTGACATTTGCAAGTTAACAAGGCACATCTTCAAAAGAGCAAAACCTTTTGTTCGGAATGATTGAGTTATTTTACAAAATTACAGCTGTGATTCATTAATCCCTCTTTTAAAGCTGCTCCAGGCTGGAATAGTCATCATGGTTAGGGGCATTAGGATAAAACAATAATGAGGATATAAAACAGATTTTTATTGATAAATTCAATATATTCTTAACCCTAACATGTATAACAAAGTTTCATCAGGGTCTCTGCACACCATAAAAGGAAATGGCAGCCATGCAGGAACATATGTAAATTGGCCAAACAGTGGAAAGGATGTGTGTTCTGAGCTGCTATTATTTTATCTATTTGGATCTTTTTGAATTAGCTTTCCAAATATCTCAGTGGAAGATAAACAAGAAGGCAGCCACCAGGACTGAGAGCAGAGAAATGAGCTTTTTGGGCCCCCTTTTTTACTTGCCTGGGTTTAAACTGAACAGTTTGCAGCACCATATGGCAAAGGTTGAGGTCAGACAGATAAAACGTTTCATTGCGCTGAAGAATGGTTAACAACACGGGAATGTAAATTCTAACACATCGTAAAACTGTTGCAAAGCAGGCTGAAAGGAGACTTTAGTTATGGCAGGAAATCTGTTTCCCAGCTCCACCCTATTTCTTCCAGTTCATTACAGGTATTGTGGGAGGCAAAAGGAGGCTTGAGTCATCCCTTGGCAATCTGTGCCCTGCTCCTACAACAGATTTCTAACGACTTTTCAATGATGATTTAAGAGGGTCTGTGTCTTGCAGTTGTAAAGGATTTCATCTCTGCCCCCTCCTCACATACAGACCCAGGGAGCTGCACACACACAATCTCTCAACAGCAGCATTAGTATTGGCCACTTTTGTCCCATTTTCGCTTCAGCGCTCTCTCTCTGCTGCACAATTCTCCCGAAGGTCACTGGATCAACCTAGTGGAAAGAGAAACCCCCAAAACCTGAATGGGTTACATCGGCATAGGATTCATGGCAATTTGTAGCCGTGTTGGTGGCAGGACCACCCCACCACCCAAATGAAACTCACAATAACCCTGCAAGGAACTGGAGCTGAAAAATGTGGTGTAGAAATCTGCCCCTCCCCCACACTTTGCCTTATCAGTCATCACTCACTGAGATGTGCACTAAACCTGCCTCAATCTCCTTCATGTCCATTCAGCTCCCCAGGGGAGCACTGCCTTGTGAATTGGAGTGGATGGTGAGGGAACCCCAGGCTGTGTGAGAGGAAATGGAGCCTGAAGAGATGCCTGCAGCTGAGTCCTTGAGCAGGAGCAAAGCAAAGCCAGAGACAGACCGAGAGATGAACTAAGGGAGAAAAACCTTTTCTGGTTTGCATCAATATTTTCCTAGGTGCTAGATTTCCTTTACCTTCCTGCTCACACAATGCAGTGTCTGCTGTGCTCTTCAGAATGTCTCTCTGATCCTTCTGGGGCCTTCTTCCACTGCTGCTTTAGCTGTCCTATCTCTGTTAGGGGATGTCTACACTACCCTCCTAGTTCGAACTAGGAGGGTAATGTAGGCATACCGCACTTGCAAATGAAGCCCGGGAAATTCAAATCCCGGGCTTCATTTGCAAGTGCGGTATGCCTACATTACCCTCCTAGTTCGAACTAGGAGGGTAATGTAGGCATACCGCACTTGCAAATGAAGCCCGGGAAATTCAAATCCCGGGCTTCATTTGCAAGTGCGGTATGCCTACATTACCCTCCTAGTTCGAACTAGGAGGGTAATGTAGGCATACCGCACTTGCAAATGAAGCCCGGGAAATTCAAATCCCGGGCTTCATTTGCAAGTGCGGTATGCCTACATTACCCTCCTAGTTCGAACTAGCGGGGTAGTGTAGACATACCCTACGTGTTCAGGATGAATCTTAATATATGGAGATATACCTATCTATCTTGTAGAATTAGAAAGGACCTTCAGAGGTCATTAAGTCCAGTCCCCTGCCCTCATAGCAGGGACAAATACCATCCCTGATAGATTTGCCCCATATCCCTAAACAGCTCCCACAAGGAGTGAGCTCATAACCCTGGATTTAGCAGGGCAATGCTCAAACCACAGTTATTTCTCTCCCCCCCATATGAAAGTCTTGGTTCAGTCCATTGACTTTAATGCCAGTTTTGTGGGCTCTAGCCCAGAAAGGCCAAGGTAAGCTGCACATAGAAGAAATATAAAATGATCGCTGTCAAAACAACATCACCATCATTGTTTTCTTGGCTATTCACCTACCATAAATATGTCATCATTGATGTCTTTCAGTTCTGCCCCTGTACATGCAGCAGGAAGTGTCTTGCTAACCGTGTGCTCAGAGAAACGTGCATTTGCTTCCCATGTTATTTAGCAGGGAAATGGAGGATTTAGTTTCTGTCACCACCTCAAGACATTGCTCAGTGCTGCTAGAGCTTGCACTGAATGACAGGATTTCACTGGTTTCATGTGGCCCCATTTCTTAAGACACTGTAGTTACACGGACTAATCATGCCATTAGCCGTGAACCATCTAGAAATAACTAATCATCACTGCCCTGGCATTAATAGCCTCTTTCATAATATTTCATTGCTTGTACAAAGAGACCTTCCCTGGGCAAGCCCCACAGGTCCTCAGGTACAGGAATGAATGGAGACCACCCAAAGACACAGCCAGCTGGGCATCACTGTCACTATTCTAGGAGGTCTGCCTAATGTTTAATACTTTGCCAAGATGTCCAAGAACAGGCCCATCTCCTCTCTGGTGCAGGAAGCAAGCCTGAAACACGGGAGTTTTTGGTTGGTGTTGATTTCTTTTCATACAATCATAGACCTGGAAGGAACTTGGAGAGATCATCAAGTCTTCTCCCCTGCACTCATGGCAGGACCAAGCACTGTCTAGACCATCCCTGACAGGTGCTCCACAATGTTCCCTGTAGATTGTAAAAGAAAATAGAAGGAGAGGCAGAATTAATCCAGAGTTTGATCTGTGACCTGCAGGTGGGGAGGATCAGAGTGAGGGGCACCTAGCTTCAGCAATTAAAATCTAGGGCAACATGTGACTCCTCATGTCCTCCTCACGTGTCATCTCTGATCTGAAGTCTTTTCCAGCTGGAATTACACTGGAAATTATCTTATGCCACAGAGAGGTGTCTGGAAAGGCTAAGTGTACTCCTTTGAGATGACAGCTAGTGGCTGGCATGCTCCAAATCTCCAGACACCTTGGGAAGCTCTGGAAGGAATCCTTTTATATTGGTTGCAATAATCCCAGGTCTCCAGGTTTGGCAGAGCCAGGCTGCTTAATCAAGGGTGGCTGTAGAGAGATGGGGCCAGAGCTGCCTCATGACACAGTATACGGGGAGGCTTGTGCAGTGGCCCTTTTCCATGGCACTCAGGCTAGCTGAGCAGGCGAGGGGAATTGGCTGGCTTCAGAGGGCAGCCCCAGGCCCAGATCCCTGCTGACTGGGGATTTGTCTTCTCTGACCTGGCTTTCTCTGCTTGAGCTCCTGCTGCCATCCCCCCAGCTCCTAAGGGATATCAGGGGATGGGGGGTACTTTGTTTTCAACTTGGAGCTGTGGAGAGGAGCTTTCTCTACAGGGCCCTTCAGAAAGGGCCTTTGTCTCGACCACTGTCACTGGGTTACTAGCTCCTTGTCTCACAGACCCAGCAAGGGGAAAGGCCTCATGGACGCCTGCTCCTTCCCCACACACACAGCAGGAAAAGGAAACAGGCATGTGGGGGATAGGATTGCCCTTCTCTGCTCCTTGCCAGGATCTGGCTTTCTGCTTCCTTCTTCCCTGTCTCCACTCCTGCCCAAGCAAGGAGAGCAGGCCACGGATAGCCAGGCAGTAGCTGGATTAATTTTGACTCACAATCCTCATGGGCCATCCTAAGGCTTGATGCCACCACTGTCCCCAAGAATGAAATCCAAGGGCCAAGGTCAGCATCCAATATTGCCCTAGGGATAAGGCCTGCCATGCCACTGGGAGCATCTCCCTTCCACCCTGAGTCCCACCCCCATACCAGGGGGTGCTGAAAGGTGAGAGGCCCTGCTGTCACATAGGTGTTAATGAGGAAACTGATAAACACCCATCCAGGGTGTCTTGAATCCCTCAACACAGTTGTCTTTAAAATCACACACACAGCCACTCAAAAACCAGCAGCCATTTCTCTCAATGTTGGTGCTTCTTTGGCTGCATTTTTTCCCATTCTTACATTTTGCCATTGTTACAATAAATACAAAGATTTAGCGCACAATAGCAACTACAAAAATATACGCACATACATAAATACATAAGTAGCAAGGGACATGTTTATGTCACCTATTTGTGCAGCTCTTAGCTGCTTCTTGTGCTTATAATTCATTCCTCGGTGCTGTATCCAAAAATATGGAAGCCTTTCTAGTCAATAAGCAAGACAAGCATGCATAAATAATAAGCCAGCACCCTGCTAAACAGCAGCTGATTTCACGTCTTTAGGGATAAATTGCAAAAGTGTGATAGTCGGAAATGTTCCGCAATCTCTCAGCCTGTTTTAATGAGGCAATGGGAGACTACATACATTTGTGAGATGTTTGAACATTGGTGCCTGTGGTTTATTCCCTCCCCCTTCCTTTCCCTTTCCTAGGCATTTACCGCCTAGTTCAGCTAGGCCTGCTAGGATCTGTGAATTGTGTCCTCTCGCCCCTTTTCAGCACCGCTGTGAGGCGAGGGTGATAAATGTCCTTTTTTTAATCTAGGAAGATGTTAAAAGCGTGGAGAACATCGAGTTCAATTATGAAATATGAAGTGCTGCAAGGTCAAGTCCATTGGAGCCCCACAAAGGAAGAAATGCTCCCAGGAGACTCGGATTGCTCGTCAGATGAGTGATCGTCATGTCCTCGGAAAGAATTAGATTTTATTACCGGCTTTTTGGCAGCATTTATAGTTTAACGTGGCTGGAATTAGAGAGCACTTTCTGAGTCTGATTTCCCCTCCCCCGTCCTCTTTCTTCAAAAGCTGCTCCAATTACTCATTGAGTTGGAGGTGCCCGCCAGAGTATGCAGGTGGTAACGTACCTTTGGAGGGCTGTCTTGCAAGGGTGCTATTCACAGCCTCCGTTTGCATAATCTCTGATTTCTTCTTAAATCTTCTCTCTCTCTCTCTCTCTCTCTCTCTCTCTTTCCTGCTCCCCTCAAGATACCTCAAAAAGTCTTGCCTGTTTTTTCTCTGTGTGCCTTGCTAATGCTGATTGTTTTTATCAAGTGGGTGCAAAGCAGAGATTCGTCACACCTTCCTCCCCTACCAAGACTAATGTGTTTACTTTTCACATCTGCCAAGACTTTTAACATCACAGCACGAGGAAAGCCCCAAAGACAAATCGAGAAATGAGCAAATTAATAATGGCTGGCAACTGGTATCCTGCAGCAACTCAGTCCTTTACCTTTTGGTGCTGTTTGCCCTTCCTTAAAGTTCTCCCATGTCCTACATTACAAAGTGACTTCTTCTGGGCAAAGAAGAAACTAACTGGTGTCATTAGGATCCATTGTAGTAAATCTTAAAACTCCCAGTTTACTCTGCTTGGAAGGTTAATACAAACCAGAGGAGGCATCAGAGCCTTAAGCTATGGATTTGCAGGCAGAATGTACATACAAGTGTGTGTTTTTGGGAAGGGAAGTTAACATTATTTAAATTTGCTTTGGTTTTTCGAATATTCAAAACTAGATCTAGGCACTAGATCGGGTCCTAATAGCATAAACCTGAGACAGGAATAGTTCTAGTAAGCAATGTATAAATTTACCCACACCACTGTGCCAATACACATCAATCTGACCTATAATTTCCATCAGACATTCAAATCCTGGGCATCTCCTATAAAACTGTGGAAAAAAAGACCTAGCTCAATGTACAGCCACCAGAGTCAAAAAACAAACAGCATGCAGAAAAAATGAGACAGAAAATAATGCTGAAACTATGATTATGCCATTATATACATTAACAGTGTGGAATATTCTCAAGGTGCTTAAGTTTGGTACAGAAGCTAGCATGCATTCTTTATTTGGCAGGAAAGATACAATCTGTTTTGTGGTCAAGAATACTGGGGTAATATGCATATTGTATGGCTCGTGTCCTAGCTTCACAAGCAAAAAATAATTATGCATCCTAGTCCCCTTTGGCATACTACCAAAACCCATCTGTATCGTGTAATGATAAACAAACTTATAAATGCATTCACATACTTGAAAGGAAGGATGGTTAAGGCACTGAACTAGGACTCAGTTTACTGGCTCTGCCACAGATTCTCTGGGAAAGTCATCTAATCTCTTTCTGTACCCTTGTCTTTCTTCTGAGAAATGGAGAGAATAGTGTTTCTTAGTCTCACCTTTTGCCTGTGTACATTCTTCAGGGTTCTGATGGCATGATTGTACAGTGCCTGTCACAATGGAGCCTCAGTCTCACTTAGAACCCTAATACAAATAAATGACAGAATAACAGCATACTGAATGCTTAATATATACACAAAGGACCAGAGACATAGAAAAGGCACACAGGGCCAAGTTGAGAATATAAGAATGGCCATACTAGGTCAGATTGAATGTCCATCTTGTCCAGTATCCAGTGGCACTAACACCTCCTTATCCCTACTGGAAATACCTCGCCTAATACATCCCAAGACCGTATTAGCCTTTTTCACGGCCATGTCACAATGGCGGCTCATAGTCATTCTATAATCAACCAGGACTCCGAGGTCTTTCTCCTCCTCCGTTACTTCCAACAGATGTGTCCCCAGCTTATAACTAAAATTCTTGTTATTAATCCCTAAATGCATAACCTTACACTTCTCACTATTAAATTTCATCCTATTGCTATCACTCCAATTTACAAGATCATCCAGATCTTCCTGTATGATATCCCGATCCTTTTCTGAATTGGCAATAGCTCCCAACTTTGTGTCATCCGCAAATTTTATCAGGACACTTCCACTTTTGGTGCCAAGATCAGCAATAAAAAGATTAAATAAAATTGGCACCAAAACTGATCCCTGAGGAACTCCGCTAGTAACCTTCCTCCAACCTGACAGTTCACCTTTCAGTATGACCCGCTGTAGTCTCCCCTTTAACCAGTTGCTTATCCACCTCTCAACTTTCATATTAATCCCCACCTTTTCCAATTTAACCAATAATTCCCCATGTGGTACTGTATCAAATGCCTTACTAAAGTCGAGGAAGATTAGATCCACTGCATTTCCTTTATCTAAAAAATCTGTTACTTTCTCAAAAAAGGAGATCAGGTTGGTTTGGCACGATCTACCTTTTGTAAAACCATGTTGTAATTTGTCCCAATTGCCATTAGCCTCAATGTCTCTAACTACTTTCTCCTTCAAAATTTTTTCCAGGATCTTACATACTACAGATATCAAACTAACAGTTACCCGGGTCGCTTTTTTTCCCTTTCTTAAAAATCAGAACTATATTAGCAATTCTCCTGAGTTTAGAAATTTATTAAAAAGTTGTGCTAATGGACTTGCAAGTTCATGTGCCAGTTCCTTTAATATTCTTGGATGAAGATTATCTGGGCCCCACGATTTACTCCCATTAAGCTGTTCAAGTTTGGCTTTCACCTCGGATATGGTAATATCTACCTCCTTATCTTTAGTCCCATTTGTTAACTTACCATTATCCCTAAGATCTTCATTAGCCTCATTAAAGACTGAAGCAAAGTATTTGTTCAAATATTGGGCCATTCCTAGATTATCCTTAACCTCCACTCCATCCTTAGTAATTAGCGGTCCTACTTCTTCTTTTTTTGTTTTTTTCCTATTTATATAGTAGAATAAGTGATAAGAGTGTCTACTTGGGGAGTTATACTGTTAAATTACACCAGTATAACTAGCAAAGCTTTCCTCTCATAGACAAGGCCTTTTGCTTGCTCAATCTCTACAGCATGACACCAGGGATGGATTGTTGGTTCTCAGTTTCTTGCTCCCCAGGCAGCATAGAATTGGGTGAATGTTGAGGCATTCAACATAACTGTTTTTTGGGGACTGGCTGCACTTCACATTATTGATCAGTAACCACACGCTTTACACCTTAAGTAAGGATATGGGAATTTCATACCAAGTCACCCTCCAGCAGCAGCATGGAGGCTGACATGTGGAGCTTTGAAACAATAGGAAATAGATCACATCCCTTATGGCTCCAACCAGGGCTAACCCAAAAAATGTACAATGTTTTTAAAGTTGTGATATGCTGTCCTACGCTCCATTAGCTCTGTCATGTTTTATGCTACATGCCGTCACTCTGGAAGCAGACATGATCCAGTGCATCAGAATAACAAAGTTTAATCTGGACAGAATAGAAACTGCTTTGCCCGGCACTGTTCAATTTACATTCTTGGAAAAGATAAGCCTCTGTCTGATTCACTGCTGACAGAACCTGGCCACGAGCTTGTGGGAGGAGCAGCATGCCTACTAGGAATGAGAGCAGAGTGCATTTGCTCTCATTGGAGGAGTCTGGTTGGACTAAAGGGGTGCTGATTCAGTACATCTCCTGGACTTCTGAGGGAATTTAAAGTTTCTCCCCTGGGAAAATGGTGGAAAAAAGTCTCACTCTCATAATCTGTTCCCTGAGGAGTGCCAGGGAGTGTCGAATGCTGTGCAAATGTGGCTTTGTGCTTCTCGTGAAATTAGCACATTCAGTTTGTTTGGGGGAGCAACTGAAACTGATGATTATTCATTCTAGCAGCCTCCCGCATACCTTCTGGGGAGCTAAATATCAGAACAGTCACAGATAACAGAAGCTTGGATGTGAGCTTCAACTCCATGATGGTAATAATCAGTCCTGCCACCTTTTGCTGAACGCCTGCTCTACACACAAAGTTGTCTTGGTATGAATAAAAAAAAAGTGACTTATACCAATTTAGTTAAACCAGAGCAATGGGGGAGTATGAATATTTTTGCTACACCTTACTTGTACTGCTTTACTTTATGTCGGTAAACTTACTGGTGTGTGCAATAAACAGGTAGAATCAGTTTTAAACTGTTAAAATCCGGCGTAGCGATTACCTGGACATCTCCCAACCGTCTCCCCCAAAAACTATTGACAATGACTCCAAGATCTCTCTCTTGACTGGTAATAGCTACTTTAGTCCCCATCATTTTGTACATAGAGTTGGGATTATGTTTCCAATGGGCATTACTTTGCATGTATCAGCATTAAAATTCATCTGTCATTTTAGAAGAAGAAGATTGTTGGGGAATGCTGATGTCAGTGAGTTGCTCCTGGCTGGAGCTCCTATAGAAGAATAGACACACTGCTAGAATGCTCCCTTGTGGCCGCATGTGGCATAACAGGCCGTCTCCTTTCTCACAGCCCTTACCCAGAGTCACTCCAAGCCTTGGTGGTTTTCCCTCTTCTCATCACTTGTCCCTCCAGGCAGCTCATGTTACATCCCAGGCCTTTCAGCAGAACTGTCCCATCCACAGGATAGTTTAGGATATCTGTCCCGGGCCCCATGCTTTGGGGGATCAATGGGAGGCTGGCACAACACCCTCACACTCACTAGGGGCAGAGAGAACCACGGGAAGCCCAGCTCCAGCCTGCTCCATTCCTCCGAGCGGCACAGCTGGGAAGCTGGGAACCAGGCTCTGGGGAGCCACTGCCACGATGAGTGCGGAGAGGCCCATCCCCTGCTGCTGGCACTAGGTTCCCTACGAGTCCCCCAGCTTGTGTTGCTCGGGGAAGTGGTGAAGTGGGGACAGGAGGGGGCAGCATGGGGGCCGGAAGAGGCCAGGTGGGGTGAGAACAGGGGGGGTGATTGGGGGAAGGAATGGAGTGGAGGCAGAGCAAGGGCAGGAAGAAGCAGGGTGGGGTCAGGGCCTGGGGAGAAGGGGAGAGTTGGCCCGGGCCTTGTACCCCTCTACGGATGGCCTTGCCTTTCAGAGGAACAAAGTCCAACAATTAAAAGTTCAAATGTCCTTCCAAAAAGTCTAATTCTGCACCCATTGATCATCACACTCTTCTCCCAGGGCTCTCTGCCTTCCCAGTCCTCCACACAGGGCCTCACTCCCTATTATCAGAGGCTGGTGGGGAAACTCAGGCCTGCCCACTATTATGGGTTCCAAGCCACTGAAATCTATTCCTTTAGATTCCTTGCTGCTGCCTCACGGGACTTCTTCCTACTGTAGCCTGTCAGCAGACCTCTTCCACAGCATCTCTGTTTTCACCCTTCTCACAGGGCCAGGACTCACAACTCTCGCCATTCAATTCCCCCCAATAAATCATAAACCAAGACTATGAACTGAAACAAACTTCTGCCCACCTCAGGCTTAATGTTTCCTACCTCTTTGTGTATGTCTACACTGCAAGCTGTGGGCAAGAGCTCTGTCATCACACCAATGCAAGTATGCATACACAAGCTGGGGAATCACGATCCTAGCTTGTATTATAGACTGTGACATTCCCCAGGGTACAATCTGGACTGTTGAACAGACGTTTGCCCTTAATTCTCCAGCCTGCATTGCCTTTTGCACTGCTTTGCTGTCAGAACATCTACTGCTGGCCTGCTCACACAGACTGCAGACTGCAAATTCACTCCCTGCTACATACATAAGCACTCTGACCAGTCACTCCTGAAGTACATACTGGGCAACATCGACAATTTCTTCCCCAGAAACATGTGTCTTGTACTGCTCAGTACCTCTCTGACCTGTACAGCTGTTAAATGTTCCCCAGAGATGATGATCAGAGTTACTTACCTTAGTAGGAGGGTGTTAATGAAAATGACGGAGCTACACACAGTAATAAATGCTCACCAGTCTGAATAAGGAGTGCACAGCCAGGCATCATGGAGTGCTACCTACCTATCCACCTGAAAATTCAGAACATAAATCTTTTCTTATGTTCTTGGTTGGATTCAACTTGCACCCCTTAGTGACTCATTTATTTCTAAGTAGCTAGATGTACAAATGGACAAACTGATTTATGTTAATGATGGACCAACTCCAGATGGTTTGGGGAACTGAGGTTCAGTTCAGATGTAAAATCCAAACTTCTCCATAAACCATTTCAAATCTTCACTGGAAATATTGCAAGAGCATTAATAGCATTTTTATTTGTATACAGTAGACCTCAGAGCTCCTGCTCAGGGTCAGGGTTCTGGACAAACACAGAGAAGAGGCAGTCACTGCTCCAATCCAAAATAAGACAAGATGCAACACATTTTTGAAGCAGAGATGGGAGCTGGCACAACAGAAAGAGGTTGCACCTGGTTGCATAGACCAGCTAGATGTACATGCTTCAAGGTTTCAAGAGCAGGCTGTCTCATGGGATGTATAGCTTTTGGTTGGGATGGAAACACCTTGAGAACACCTTTTTT